CCGGATAATTGAATCTAAATGATAATGAAGCAATGGTGGAATAAGAGGAAGAAAACGGGAGAACCCAGAGAAAATCGGTCGCGAAACCCCTCGCATACTTTTACTAAATATTTACGATACTATGTTGTTCGGTTGGATTTGATTATTTCCGAAGTTGATATTATGAGAGAACTGGCACTTATGTCAGTGCAAGGTAGAAACTCCATAGTTTTCCTTCCTGCTTTCTAAGGAGGCGGTTCTGCCTCAGACGACCCCTCGTGTCACGCATAAGCTGCATCTCGCGGCAGTAAGTCGGCTACGCATACTCGCTACGCCTTGCTAATGAAAGTAGATCTCACGCTAGGTCAAAATGGACCTGGGGTTGAATACGTTTGCGCCATGACGCGCTGAGACTCTCGGGTGCACGATATATTTAGAATCTAATGAATAATGAAGCAAATTGGTGGAATAAGACGGAGAGTGTAACGGGAGAACCGCATGAACAAAATCGGCATCGAAACCCTCGCACTTTTCTACTCAAAATTCCATGTGTGTCGTTTTGGGATTTTGTGAGCATTCTAGGATTGGTAAAACGATCGAGTAGAACTCACACATGGATGTCAGGATGCAGTTAACTCCATAGTTTCCTTTCTCTTTTCTGCCGGCGTGTCGTGCACTCACGTGGTGGACACGCTTCGTGTCCCGCTGGTCACAATGCATCGTCTGCTGCCAGTAAGTTGACTCTAACCTTCGCCTGCAAATGAATCTCCGTAGGTCAAATGGAGCCGCGGGTTTTGGATATTTTGTCGTCACTCTATGAACGTCGCTCTGACTGTCGGGAAGGCACTGGCATACTTACGAAATCTAAATGATAATGGATAAGCAATGGTGGAATTAAGATTGGAAGAAACGGGAGACACCCAGAGAAATCGGTCGCGAAGACCACTCGCCTTTTTCTAACTTAAAATAATTACGTACATACGTGTGGTTGGGATTTGACTTCCGGGTTGATTATGAGAGAACTGGCCAATGAGTGCAGTCGCAACAATTAACTCCAAGTTTTCCTTCCTCTTTCTGGACGGCGGTCACTGGCCACCCACCACTTTCGGCCCGGCATCAAGCTGCTCTGCGCCAGCTAATGTCGCTCTACTCTCGGCCTTGCAATGGATCATCATCCGCTAGTCAAAATGGAAACGCTGCGCGGTTGATTATATTTGCGCCATCGACGCGCTGACTTGGGGTGCAGGACTAATTCAGAATCTAAATGAAATGAAAGCAATGGTGGCAATAAGACGGCAAGAGGAAACGGAGAACCCCAGACAAAATCGCATCGAACCCCGCAACTTTTACTAACAAAATTCGATGTGTGTCGTTGGGATTTGCACATATCTGGTGGAACATGATGAACTACTACCAAGACATAGAGGGTGTTCGTGATCAGTTAACTCCAAGTTTCCACCTTTCTCTTCTGCGCGGACCGGGACTAGCCACGTTGACACTCGTAGCCGGCATCAATGCTGCTTTGCGCGCCAGTAAGTTTGACTTCTACATCTTCGCCTTGCAATGAATCTCCGCTAGGCTCAAAATGGACCTGCGGGTTGGATATTTGCGTCATGACGCCGCTGATTTGGGGATGCAAGATAATTAGAAACTAAAGATGATGAAGCAAACTGGTGAAACTCATTGTATTGCAATAAGTAAGAACGGAGATGAAGCAATCCGACAGCAGCAAAATGCATAACCGTTGTCCCGCATACTAGTTTTCATCTTAATATTTTCACGTTTACTGATGTGTGTCAAAAACGACGCAGAAAGCAGTTGGAAGATGGAGCTGCTCTACCACTATTGATAGGGTGTGGAAGCGGTAACAGTCAATACTGTTGATTCTCTTTCTCTTCTCTCTTTTGCTCGGCCGGATTTGACCTAGTAAATCGAGGTTGGAAACTATGCAGAATCATAGGATCTTGACCATTCCAAACTCATGGATCACCTCTCGCCCTTCTGGTATCCGGCTCAAAAAATCAGGTCGCTTCTATTTTGCCGTATCCACTACCTCTTCATGTTCCCTTTGTGGCCCTTGTGCTCCAAGACTTCTTTGACATGCTCTACAGCAGTGTGGACCGTCCGCAAGGAGAATGATGTAGTGAATTTGATAAGTATATTAGTGCTTATGATAAAAATCATAGTAAAAATATAGGCTATGATAAAAATAATTGAATATTAAAATCGTTGATTAGAAAATGAAAGGAATTTTTAATTAACTGGAGTAGATTCAATAAAAAGTCCATGTCACCAAATTTCCTCGGAGCTGTGGAAGAGGCAGCCGCCCGTGCGCCCCAACCGCAACACCACCCGACGCGCCCGGGTCCTAGGATGTCCCTCTCTCTCCATCCCTCTCCCTCCATCCCTCTTCCTCCATCCCTCTCCCTCCATCCCTCTCCCACCATCCGTCTCCCTCCATACCTCTCCCTCCATCCCTCTCCCTCCATCCCTCTCCCTCCATCCTTCTCCCTCCATCCTTCTCCCTCCATCCTTCTCCCTCCATCCTTCTTCCTCAATCCCTCTTCTTCCGTCCCTCTCCCTCCGTCCCTCTCCCTCCATCCCTCTCCTTCCATCCATCTCCCCCATCCCTCTCCCTCCATCCCTCTCCCTCCATCCCTCTCCCTCCATCCCTCTCCCTCCATCCCTCTCCCTCCATCCTTCTCCCTCCATTCCTCTCCCTCCATTCCTCTCCCTCCATTCCTCTCCCTCCATTCCTCTCCCTCAATTCCTCTCCCTCCATCCCTCTCACTGTGTAATATTTCCTTCTTTTTTTCCTCTGTCATACTCCCTTCAGGTCGTGTCAACTTTATTATAGAACGTCTTGTCCTCAAACTTGTTAGTCTCCAAATATCTATTTGTCTACCAATGGAAATTTGATTATTCTTTCAAGAAAAATTGCTTACACAAAAATATCGAGTCAATGCCTTGTAGGTGGTACTCGAACTCTGTCTACCCCTTCTTCCACCTCATTACTTCACAGGGGCAAGGTCTGATCAACAAATTATTTCTGGAGAGAGTTTTGTTGTAACCATTCGCCATAAATATTTTATTTTTATTTTTTTAATTAAGGAGGAGAGTACCTTGAAACACAATATTATTTTCATAATGAAAATACTTATTTCAATGCTTTGATTTTAATATAATATTAGTAAATACAATTTGCTAAAAGTAAGACCAAGCTATTTTTCTCAACATTTTAAGCAGGTGGCATTGAATTTCCATTATGTTGCAGTTTCCGCAGATGACGAGAAGGCAAGTGGATGGCATTATCAGTTTACTTCGGAAAACTGCAAGCTTGTCATCCATGATTTAGGTAAGGCACCTAAAGTATCTGAATTATATTTATAACTCATTAGTACTTTATAATAGACGTTACTATTAACCAAATATCGAGTGTGTTAATTTCCAATAAGACAAACATGTGACCACGTTCTTGTTCAGCTTTGTGTCCATTTCCCGTGCATTTTTCTTTGATATGCAGGTCATTTGCATTTAAATTTTCTAGAAAAGTAACAAAACCCTCTAATTCGATTTCAATCTTAAGAAACCTTCATACAAGCCTTTTCGCTTCAAGAAGCCAAAAGAGGTTGCGAAAATTAAAACTAAGTGTCAGCTCTAAAGAGTCTACACAATGATACAATGAACAATACAGTTTCTTATTTAATGTATCTATAAGAATTTTAGAAAATTCATAAAGTCGTCCATAGTCATCATTTTGTTACACGACTCACTTTTAAATTTTCAATATTTCATTAAATAAATATTTCAATGTTACATGTACCTGCCACCGCGATAATGATACTGAGCCACGGTAAATGCAGGATGCATGCTTGCGTGGTCCTAGTCGGCCTATTCGCTAGCAAAAAAAAATTTCAATACTGCCTCCACAAAATGTAATATCAGCTTTTCCTCGTCATCCGATGCATCAAAGCGCTAAAAATTGTCGATGAAAGATTCGTTTCAGAGCTTCATGTTAATCAATTGAACGTTGACTAATCAGAACTGCTCCTGATGGAGCGGTCAATTGCAGAATTAAAAACCAATCAGCAGATTAAAAACCACTTAAAAAAACAATCAGTAGATTTCAACAATGAAAGGTCCTGAACTACCATTTACATAATCCAATAAATCGATCTAATTGCTAGTGTGCAGAGACTGGAGAAGGGAAGGGGGTGATGGACTAGAGGGAACCCAAGGGCACAAAGGATATAAGGGAGTCCTAGCCGATTAGGGGGCTGGAGTGAATGGTATAGCCACAATAAGCACACTCAATTTGGTTTGAAAAAAATACTGCCAAATTTGTATTTCAAAAACATTTAAACACTCCAGAAAAGGTAAATTTAAGTTTATTATTTACAAAATAATTGAAGATATTTGTTCACAAAAAAATTAACAAGGAAATAAAAAAGCATCCACAAATATCTTTTGTAAATAATAAATAATTTACATTTTTCTGGAGTTTTTATGTTTGAAATTTGGCTTAGAAATTATTTTTTCAAACCAACATATGTGTGCTTATTGAAATTGTTGGAAAAATCGAAGGCGATTTTTAGACGGGACTTGCTTAGAATTGTCTCCAGAGAAATTTGTTTGTGGGCAAGGGGTGGCCGAGAGTGACGTGCGCGCGCGTGCGTGTCGCAGAGGAGGTGGAGGAGGGCGGGCTGTGCCTGCCGCCCGCGGGCGAGTCGTTCGCGCGCTTCCTGTGGTGGCTGCTGCTGCGCCCGGCCAAGGCCCTGCTGTGGGCGACGGTGCCCGACTGCCGGCCGCCGCGGCGCCGCGCGCTCTTCCCGCTCACCTTCGTCGCGTGCGTCCTGTGGGTGGCCGCCGCCTCCTACTGCGCCTCCTGGATGATCACGGTCGTCGGTGCGTCTCGCTCTTCTTTCTCTTCCTCTCCCACCTTTCTCCCTCGACTTCATCTTTTTCGCTCACCCTCTCTTCTCTTCACTCTCACGCCTCCTGGATGATCACGGTCGTCGGTACGTCTCGCTCTTCTTTCTCTTCCTCTCCCACCTTTCTTTCCGTCTTCCTCGCCCTCTGAAACACGTACTTCTTTCTCTCTCTTCCTTCCCACTTGTCCTTCGATTTTTCCTCATCCCTTCTTTTCTTCGTCTTTTCCTAGCTTTTTCTCTCTTTTTTCTTATTCCTCTCAATCACGTTCTCATTTCTTTATCTTTCTTTCCACATCCGTCCTTTCTGTCTTCCTCCTTTCCTCCTTTCCTTTGTTGTTTTCCTCTTTCTCTCTCTTTTTCCTTTCTCTCTGTCTCTCTGTCCCTCTCTCTTTCTCTCTCTCTTTCTCTCTCTCTCTTTCTCTCTCTCTCTCTTTCTCTCTCTCTCTCCGTTTTCCCTCCCTCGTTTTCTCCCCACTTCCTCTTTTTATCTCACTTCTTCCCCCATATTTTCCTACCGAATCTTCTGCTTTCTCCACCCTCTCAAAACCATTCAGGGATGTCAAATCAAGTGTCCAAAAACATAGAACCTTTTCTCGTACTTTAATTCTACTGTTTAACTGCATTGTATAGGCTATTGAGTCGCATAATTGCAGTTATTATTATGCTAGAACGGCCAAAACTCTACCATGTCTATATAGCTGGGCGAACGTCATGTGCACTGGACAAATAGTCTGAGCATTCCGTTGTCAGGAAAATGATGAAATCTTCGTTACAGAAATCGCAAAAAAATGTGTGAAACTGAGATTTTAGTCAAGCATGTAGCTAGAGCGAGAATTAGAAATGTGTGTTAGGGGGTTAGAGGCTACAGCCAATTTTGAAACTAAAATATATCTCACTTAATAATGTAAATCATGCGTCCGATAACTTTATCTACTTTAATAGTATGGTTGAAACTTTGGATGGCCTGATTCGGAATCTTGGAGTAGGTCTTCGAATTACTCATTCTCATGCTCGCCGATCTACCTTTCCTGAGCACCGTTATCAACCGACTGCACTTAAAAACTTGAAATGTAAGACCTCAACAGTCTTCACACGGCACGGTGGTACCCAGGCGCGAAGCAGTAAAAGGCTGATAAGTGATGACTAACTCCCGGAAGGGGAAATGCGGCAGTGGATGCGCTCAGGAAGTGGCGGTCAGGAACTGATAACTAAAGCAGAGATGTTCGTGCAAGTGTGTGTTCTTATCAGACAACTAAAATAGCTACGTTTCACAGCAAATATTAAATCTGAGATTTTTTAAAAATTTTTCCATCTAATGCATATTTTTGAGATGAAAGTATGAAAAGAAGTATGAAAAGATGAGATTGAAGTATAAAAATGTGTTTATATGCTTTTTTATTTTCAGCCTGATATAACACTTTTTCTTTTCAAGTAAAAATCCAAAGCAATCAATTAATCCAAGCTATCAATTAACCAAAGCACAAAATTTCTTAATGATAAATGCAGACATGTATAAAAACCTTCAGATTACTGGTGGATAAGATAGGGGATAGAAAATTTGTAGAGGTATCAAGTAAATAAGGAATGAGTAAATGATAAAATGTGAAGATAATTCTCCAGTAATGAGAAAATGCATAATTTGGAAGCTAAGTTGGACAACCTTTCATAGAAAGTATTTAGCAAAAACATATCAAAATAGAAATATGCGTCTCATCACGCCATGTAATGTGGGAGATCTTTTCGAAAAACAAGACGATATTGTTTGAAAGTATGCTATGAAAAGACAATATTAACTAAATATTTATAACCCACTGCATTCTTAGTGCAAAAGATAATGTGCAGAAGTAAATAATATGTTTTTAAATTTCATATACCTTATTTCTCAAAGAAGCTAAACGATGTGAATGTCATTACAAAATGCATATTTTTGTAACAAAAGCTACATATTTTAAACATTTAATTGCATGTTACAACATTATGGGACTGTTGGGAACGACCAAACTATAGGTGAGGTTCAATATGCGATTTATAGATAAGCAAGGGCGCGCAATGCAGCGGTGTACATGGCAAGGACGATAATGGCAACGCTGCCTCTGTCGATATTCTGCTGTTAAAAACTAATTTTGCCACGCAACGTGGTTTGTAAAGTTCTTTTTTAAAAATCCACTTGTGAAAGCGGTTCTTTCAGGGTATGCAGGGAGTGATAAAATTTCAATATGTAGCACTAATGCTAAAAGTGAGACAATGCTCGTGTTCAGAAAAATCTGTGGATTCAACAAAGAAAAAATACTTTCGCCTTTCTGTATTAGCAACTGCTGACCTTAATGTGTCATTAAGTGATTTGTATAATTACATTAAAATAAAATGAATGTCAGTAAAGTTGTTTAAATATAGTGTATGACACATGTTGTAAAAGTGATTTTATTTTGTCCGTAGGATTGCGTTCGACCTATTGGCATCATGTTGCAACTTTTCCTACTCGCAAAATAAAATTTCACTTTTATTGCTCGTTTCATAAACTAGTATCTAAGGCGCTTTCTAGCACACCCACCTCATTCCGTTTGCAGAAAAGTTTACCAGAAAAATAAAGGTCTACGCAGTTTGATATGAACGCCATGTATTCCTATCATATTCTAGGTCAAAATAAGTGGGATTTGCTTTATATTCCTTCACGCTGCGATAAAATAATTCCATAAATTTATCAAAAATGCAAATCAGTTAATTTTGGGAAATAATACTATCAGCTGATATTTGTAGTAAAACCCTTTCTAAAGTTAACTTGTGTGTAGTTACCCCAGAAATGGTCTTCCGACCATGTCACTGATTTAAGAGAAGTTCCTGGTCATTCCATTTCTTAATCCTGATCCGTCTGTGGTGTCGCCAGGTGACACGCTCCAGATCCCGGACTCGGTGATGGGGCTAACCCTGCTCGCCGCGGGCACTAGCCTTCCAGAGGCTGCCTCCAGCGTCATTGTCACCAACCAAGGTAAGTGACCTCAAGGTGCTGCGTATTTGTACAAGTAATTCTGGGTTCTCGTCTCTCTGGTATTTATGGCGTGTAATAGGGTTAAGACAATTGCTTTTTCATGCCAACCTTTTTCACTCTTCACTGGCTGCTCTTTAGTCTACAAACTGTAAACAATAACAAATTAATGTATTTCGCTTTTAATTCTTATACTGGTCATTCCTGGATGTGGAGATAAATGAGTGTAATAATCTCAAAAACACGAAGGAAAAATGCAAAAACATGTAGATTTTTTTCAAAAGCATTATCCTTACTCTCAACATACTATCGTTTTTGGTTTTATGTTTGTTTTTGTGTCGTCCCTAAAGGACCAATAATCTTGTTACAGGTTATGGCGCTATGGGCATCAGTAATTCCATAGGATCCAACACTTTCAACATTTTGCTGTGTTTGGGTCTGCCATGGCTGTTGAAGGCTGTCTGCTTTCCTCCCGCTCCCGGCCAGTATTGGGTCAAAATCAACTCGGGAGGCTTACTTTACAACACTCTGTCATTGCTGACAACTCTTTTTCTTCTTTATATCTCCTTTGCTTACAGTTCGTTTAAACTGAATCACAAAGTTGGTGCTATCACTCTAGTGATGTATGTTGCCTTTGTCATCATTGCTTTTGCAGTGGAGCTTAATGCTTTTGGTGTGGTCAATTTACCGACATGTCCACACTAATTACATTTTTAAATTTTAAACTTTTTTCTTTCACATTCTACTCTCTTCAGTTTTCCTTTCTCATTAGGGAGCACAAAATGTTTGGTCAAGTATTCAAAACAGGGTAATCCTCCATAATTTATACACGTAATTCATTTATAAGTTATTTTACTGAGGTATTTACTAACTTAGATAAGTTTATTTTACTGAATTTATTGTATGCCAAAAAGAAACAAGTATTTTAAAAATATATTAAATCGTCCTTATAACGAAACTTTTAATAATAATTATTGGCATTGTTCTTCAGCATGTGACTTGGGCATGTGTTGGGCTCTCTAAACATTTTAAGGGACCTGAGTTAATTCTCAGGGTTCAGAAGTGCGGAAGCAATTCTGTCATATATGGTATTATTCCAATACTGATATTAATTGAATGTCGAGTTTGCTCTGCATTTAATTACATCGGAATTTTTGAAAGTTTAGTAGTCTGTTATGGATAAATGAAAGTATTAGTAATACTTTCGTATTAAATTAGTTCCAGACTGCCAAACACTTGTTTGTGCTCGTTCAATTATGTTTGTGTTTCAATTATGTAGTAGTTTGCAGATTATACCTCAATTCAATAGTGCATTCCCAGAAAATTCGTTGACTCAAAGCCCATACATGCATGGCATCTTCATTGGAGTAATAGCAGCATCTCCATGAGGTAAATTCAGGACATGTAAATTTAGAACACCTAAATAATATACTAGTGTCTTAGAAACACCTATTTCTATTACTCGATTAGAGAGAATGGGAAAGAGATGGCTTTGTGGCAAGGGTGTCTGCACGTGAAAGTAATTTCCTCTCGGTTCAATCATTCCCACGAAAGAAGGCACGTACGTTTTAGATCAAGTAAGTCACAAGTAAGCTTCTTTTTTTCTGAAAGTCAGAGGCTCGAAAGTCTCTTTGAGGAACCTGCGAGTGTAAGCTGTTTGAGCAGGCTCTTATGGACTTTCCCTCAAAGACAGTTTATTTTTAAATTTAAAACTCTGCAATATTTGTCAATTATTGCCTCTTTGAAATGTGAAAATATATTCACATAGCTCCAATTATGTGAATTGCTAGATTGTTTATTAATTTTTCTTCTCGTCGTATTTTTTGTCTCGGTTTTCTTTGTTTTTTATAACATATGCAGTTATGGAAGAAATGCTGTAAAAGCTGCCGTTAAGTGCCTACATGGACGTAATCGTTTGCCAGGTAGTGAGAGGAAATGAGACGAATTTTGAAGAGGAAAGAAAAACGAATTCCTTAATCGAAGGGGCAATAGAGGAGTGGGTTTTGTTTGGAGCTAAGGAGCAGCAATGAGTGCTCATTGGTAATGTGATTCCCTCCAAAAAAATCCACAAGTAAGGGAAATTCAATCTTGTCTCCAACTACACAATGTCAAGTTCAGCTAACTACAAATCAGATTTGTTGCCCGTGAAAAACTAATGATAGCATTCAAGAGTCCATTCCATAAACTAGTTGTGGAAATAAAAAAGGTCTTGTACAAAAAAAATTGTAAATTGAAAATGTATTTTTATGAGTAAAAACGATGTAAATAATTAATGTGCTATTCAAAAAATATGGTTTTAAGTAAGTTCTGAAAAAGAATTTGATAATTCGACATCAACGTGTGAACTATAATATTACTTAAGATTTGTGTAAAAAGCATGATATTAGTCTTAAAAGACTGAGTAATGAAAAATGTACATAAACATTTCCTATGAATAAAATTATATGGTTAACTAGTTTAATGTACAGAAATTTCAAAAAGTGCTATTTTTAACAAGTTTGTTTCCTTTTTCTAAACACGAACTGAGCCAAACCGCACTATATAATATATTACATAGGTGATTGATAATGGCCTTGAAACTCGTGAGTTTGGGCTTCTGCAATCCATAATTTGCCATTTCTACGAACAAAAGTGAAAACTGTATTCTTTTTAAATTATTTAACACAACTATTAAACATATTGCCATAGAACAGGAATAATATTCTGTCGAAACGAGGAAACATACGATTCAGAAGCACATCCTTACAATAGAACTGATTGCTTACAATAATTCGCTGACATTTTTTAGTCGCACATTAAACTGCTAGCAGGCCGATATTAAATTAAGGCTAGTAAGAGACAAAGTCTGTAGTTTTGAGTTCCACTGCGTCGGTCGTAAATTTCTATTTACACATCATCTCATTTAACGTAACCTCATTATATAGGCCGATTCAGATGTTGTTCACACAAGACCCTGTGATAGAGTACAACAAGTTATTCATGTGTGCAAAAGAAAATAGTGCGAATCCTATTCAACCTTTTGAAAACAAAAGTTATTTGTTATTGGTCATTTTTGGCATAAGCACAGTCAAATATCACAGTAAATATTGTTCTCTGTTACTATAAAAACCTACTTATCAAACGATTATGAAAGGAGAGAGAAAAAATTATTTAAATGTTGTTTAGGATATGTTTTTATTATCTGCGTATGCAGCCCAAATTTCACATGCAACACCTGAATTTTCCTTCCCACAGATGCAAAAAGTGCAATTATTGTTCCAGGTCATTTAAAGCACACTTCATTTGCCCAAAGAACGTGTTTCAGAAATTCCTTATTTCCCTTGCATTCACACAGGAAATGCCTAGAGAATTCATAACGACGTTTGAAGTCTGTACTGTGCTAAAAATGCACCGGCTGGAAATGGATAGGTCGTAATTTTTCTGCATGAATTGTTCGCCAGGTGACGAACTGTAATGCGTTGATCTCGCGCGCCATTTGCCTTGTGCTCTCTTCCGGGGCTTAGCGGATGGTGTTAATACCTTACTTTTTCAGAGAAGTGGCGAGCCCTAAAGCGGGTTAAAGCTGCTTTCTCACTTGTCAAAGCCTGTGTCACAACCTCACAAATAGTGGTATTACTCGAGTAACTTTTCTTGAACGATGGCCATGCTTCCCCCTCTCTGACACAATAAAAAGTTGAAGACAAAAGCTCGCAGCGTGTACTGATGACAACATTCCAAACACATCTTCACTGGCGCAAAATAGGAATTGTTTTCCGTTGAAGACGAGAACTTCTGACCGTGATTTTCTCCAAAAAATTTAAATAAATGACCAAAGCAGGTGAAGATTCATCACAGCAAATACCTCGAACTCCTGAGAAAATTAGAACTCAAATTATTGAGAAAGTTGCGAAGGCATGACTGATTTTCCAGAGATTGACATTGCTTCATAAAATCTAGTGGCCTATTTCGTAACTACTACCCCCACTCTACCCGCATTTCTTCAATCCATCGTTCAAGAAAAGTTGCGCAAGTAATATCAGAAATTCTTCTTAACATAGCAAAATTCTTCTTAACATAACATCTTATTAACATGGCAAACACTTGGCACTTGATCAGTCAGCTTACTTTATCCAGTGCACTATGAATAATGCTTAAATTGGTCGCTTAATGTCCGTAATGACCTGTCCATCGCTATCTGTACAGATTTCACCAATCCGACTCGCTAATGTAGGATTGAACGCTAATTCGCGAATTATCTTTTTTAATTTGCAATATTTTGATAGAACAAAAATAGATATCTTGTCCAGGAACGATCCTCGTATATCTCATATCATAACGGGTTCCGTATTCTAAATTTTATTGCTCCTTCTTAAGCACCCAAAATAATATTTAACGACTCTCTCCCTCTCTCTCCCCCTCCTCTTCCCCTCTCTCTCCTTCTCCCTCCCCCTCTCTCCTTCCTCCTATCTCCCTCCTCTCTCTCCTCATCTCTCCCTCCTCCTCTCTCCCTCCCCCTCTCCCTCCCCACCTCCTCACTCTCTCTCATCTCAGCAAATCCCAGATGATTTGCTTATTCTATGAACCTGATATTCTGTTCCTCAGGCATTCAAATCATCAATTTCATCAAATCGAAAACAAATAGGTCGCACCAACTCGCAGGGTGGTAAATTCCTACCCGTGGAGAAAGATTGGTTTCTGCATCGAGGAATGTCTGGTCTGCTACTGTATGGCACGGACAATTTCAACGCATGATCCGTGGCACGTGCCACGACCTAAAACCAATCCCTTCACAAATAACATGTTAGTCGATCGCCCAAAGGAGATGCGCACGCGAAGAAACCACAGACAAACGCAATGAATCTCCGCGGACGGAATATTCTGGAGGGTGACAATGCTCACTCGGACCTGTTCCCAGGGGTAGCGGTTGTTATCGCGTAGGACCATGGAAGATCCGTCATGAACCGTAAGATGGCAGGATCGGAAGCGTGAATTAGAAGGTACTCCAGACTGAAACGAAATGGGAGCAACTACTTCGTTTTATTATGCACGATGTTGGTTCGTGCAAAGATTAGTACCGATATCCATTGTCTCCGTTGCCCGCTCCTCTTAAATGTGGCATCTTGATGGTCAGGTATACTGTACCAAAAATGATGCTGGACGTCAAAAAAAACCAAAAAAACACGCGTACCCCTCGCCTCCGATGGACCAACTTCTCCGCCTGAAGGTCCGTCACCTCATGTTTATGCCACAAAAGGGAAGATCGATTATTTTCCATGGTTTCTGCGATAATTGCAAGACGAATACTAGAGCAGTACCTTAACAATCGAGCCATGTTCCGCCCGAGATCTTTCCTTCCCCATCCTTGTTCCCTCTTCCCCTTTTTCATGCACATATACACACTTACGTATGCCACTCATGTTGGGATGTCACTCGAGAGTTCAGAGATTTACTTTCTCATATACGAGAGCTGCTCAAAAAATACACGGCATGACGTGATAAAAACAAAGTGAACTTTATTTACAAGTTACATGTCTGGGTACCCTTCAAAGTACTCTCTTCTCCAAACGCATACACTTACGCCAATGGTGTTTCCACTTGTTGAAACACTCCTCTTTTGTAATGTCCTTCAGCCTCGCATTTGCCTTAATCTCGGGAATCGTCTCAAAGCTTCTTCCTTTCAATGGTTTTTGGAGTTAAAGGAACAATAAAAAGCCACAAAAAGCAAGGTCAGGTGAGTAGGGAGGGTGGGGAAGCACAGTTACCGAGTATTTGGCCAAAAACTCACGCGTTCTGAGAGCTGAATGGGATGAAGCGTTGTCATGATGAAAAAGAAACAGTCACCACTCATCCACATTTCTGGCCTGCGACGGATGGCGTCCTTCAGAGTCTTCAGAACTAATATAGTAATTTTGGATTACTGTGGAGTTTTTATGGAGAGAGTCATGGTGAACGATATCCTTATCATAAAAAACTGTTAGCATCACCTTGAGCGAACTTTGCGAGCTTTTTGGAGTCAGGGGGACGTTTCACCCGTCCACTGGGACGATTGAACCTTTGTTTTAATGTCATAACCATAAAACCATCACCGGTTATGATCTTTAACAAGAACTTTTTATCTTCTTCTGAACGATCAATCCAAGACAATTTCCTGGCGAAGCTGGACACGACAGTCTTTTTGCTCCTTCGTCATCAGGCGTTGCACAAATTTCGCAGCAACTCGGTACATCTTCAATTTCTCATTCAAAAGCTCGTGACAAGACCAACTGATACCTGACACACGTTAGCCAGCTCCCTTACAGTTAGACGCCGATTTCCTCCAAACAGGGTGTTGATTTTGTCGGTGTGTGAATCGTTAGTTGAAGGTCGTCCAAAAAGCTCGTCATCTTCAATGGACTGCCAATCATCTTTAAAAGGTCCATGCCACTTGAAACATGCCGTACGCTTCATAGGAACATCTCGGTGGGCCGTATTAAGCATAGCAAAAGTTTCTATTGCAGATTTTCCTAGTTTAATACAAAATTTCACAGAAAGACTTGCTCTTTCATGTCATTTACTTTGAAATCAACCAAACGAAAAAATCGCACATCACTAAAAACCACGTAGCTAATAAACAAATGAAGATATCAACAATCCGAAAATGGCGTCATAATCGTCAGATCTGTACAAACCTAGTGATATCAAGCGAATTCCCCTGGAATCAACTGAAGTCGCGCAATTCAAACAGTTCGCGTACTTTTTGAACAGACTATTTTTGTTACGAGTAATGTACGTATTATAGAGAAAGATAAGTAATGCTGCGGAAAATTTGTAAAGTTAAGTAATGCTCGAGATTTCTTCGTAAATACACATTTTGGGATTCCCTGATACCGAAAAAGTGTTTTTAACGCCCGTCCGTCTGTCTGTCCGACTGTCCGTCTGTGCGTACGTCTGTGAACATCATAGCGCCTAAAGCATAAAAGATCCAAATATCCCAAAGGGATATTCCCCGGCCCATCTGCCACGTGTCAAAGCTTCGCAATTTTGGTTTTGATTGATTTTGAAAAACTGCCTTCAAAATTTGGGGGACTTTACATGAAACCTCTGGGACATTTTCAAAATTCTCAAAATTGGACCTATGCCACATTTATTAGTGCATTATACTCTATTCCTATAAGAAATTTAAAGAAAAAATTGAAGCTATTTTCGAGAAAATTTTGAAAATAACTCAGAGACTTTGCCCCCAAAAACTAATGAATGATTTTCAAAATCGCAGAGCTTTAACAAAGGCCAATTAGACAGAAGTTTCCTCGAATTGGAAAAATCCTTGGCATGGTTTAGGCGCTAGTGTTGTTGACATACATAAAAAGGACGGACGAACAGACAGACGGACGGACCGACGGACGGACGACTTGAAAAAAAACACTTTTTCCGTATCAGAGAACTCCAAAACGCGTATGTCCGTTGAAATGTCGAAATCGATTTTCCGCAGCATTACCTAACGCTTTCTCTATACTACATATATTACTCTGTATATGTGTACGTAAACGGGAAAGTAATAACAAAAACAAGATTTTCTCTAAAACGGTCCCAAATTTTTCTTTACTCTTTTGATAGTGATAGTGCTCGGGAAAGTCCTCTATAAGATGACATAAACGACATATTGCTCTATTCTTTTGTTTTTTCCGAAACTTACAAATACATAATTTTTTACTTGTGTCTCACGTCGTTAATATTTACATTAGTGACAATTTGATCATATTATTGTACTTATAAGTACATGTGCATTAAATAACATTAGATTAGGTTTCTCGAAAACTCAAATGTTTTCTGTGAAAATGAGCTCAAATTTCGCATATTCAGAAACATTTAAATGCCATTTTCTTAAGAAGGGCTCCAATATTTTCTTCAAACTTTTGGTACGGATAATGCTAAATGCACTGTTTAAGATGACATTATATCTTATTTTGCTATATTATTTTGTTTTTTTCAGAATTACAAAAATTTATTTTTTAAATCTCTCAAATTTATTTTTTAAATCTAAACCCTCTAGCTTCCCATTCAGAGGCACTGCAGTGACCAATTGGTACCCTCAACCATCAAGCCGGTACATTCTGAAGATTGCATTAATTTCAAAAACGTTAGTTTACTTGCGTGACTCTCGTATGGTCATTCCCTCAAATGGAAAATGTTTCGCATGAAATAAGGCTGTAGATGCAGATAGAATGTAAAAAAAAGTACACTTCAAAACTTCCTACTTAAGAAATCTTGTTTTGTATTTTTTTACTCAAATTTAGCCTCTTTGAGTTTCATTAAAAGTGGTGTAATAAGAACCAACATGTGCACTTTGAAATTCGGAGTTAATGGCATGGCGATAACATCTGAGTGGTGACTGAATTCACATACAGGCATAGTCTCTTCTGTTCTTGGACCTGGTTGGTAGAAATTATTTCAATATTATTTTAGTGACGACGAAACAACGTAAAAATCTCTCGCGTAAACTGTCCCTAAGTGCACTCCTTCAATAGACACTTCATAGGTATCATCAATATTGACGCTCCACCCTGTACGGCTGGCGGAAGAATTTTTTCCTTGAGTTGGTTGGTTGATTAGTGATTGTGGGAGCGTCAACTGCAAAGGTCATGGTTCTCATAAGTGAAGTGCATCTTTTGTCGCGGGCTGGGGAGGTGATGATCCCCGCTGAATGGCGAGATCTGGCGCCTACTTTCTGTCGGCTAATGGGGTTTCCCCTTAACCAGGTATCACCCTCCAGCGGGGCATCACCCTTGCCTGGTCAAGCTCTAAGCTCACGACCGATCTCCTGGCATGAGTGGAAGTGAAGTGCAGGTTACGTATAAGTGTGTGTAAGGGGTGAGGAAAGGATGAGGAAGATGATGGATCGTGGACTGTTTGTTAGAGTACTGCTCCGGCATTCGTCAAGTGTTGGGCGGAGGGTCCTCCGAAAACTGCAGATCAGAGCAGCCGGCCGACGCTAGAATTCTCCTCCAGCGGCAGAACTCGAACAAGCTATCTAGCCAGTCGAAAATCCAGCCTCGGCACATCCCGTTCAGGGGTATTGAATTGAATTGAATTATGCCTTATTTTACGTGGCGAGACTCAGGCCATTAGGACTGCTCTTCCGTCTGACCACGCAAACTTCGCTACGCTCCTTTCACCAACTACCGGAGAAAGGTATCTTGGGCGAGAAACAGGCGACTTGAATTTAGCTCAGAGGCGTCATTTAGGCTTGAGGATCTTTTACATGCAAGTAAATCTACGAACATGGGACAGCCGGCTTTACTTCCCCTCCGAAGGAAGGCGTATGAAGGATTTTTTCTCCCTTAAAAATCCTCGGCTTCGATCGGGTTTGAACCCGCCAACTTGGGCACAATAGTCCAGTACGCTAACCGTTACACTATCGCTGCCGCACATCGCAGGGGTACTGCAGTGACATCAGTTAATGTCCTGAGCTACCTCTCCCGGTACTTTCCCATGAGCGATGCGATCTTCGGCGATGCTCATCTGTTTTAGAATACTTGTATGAACTTTACACTTTTAGAACTCTCCTTACATGAACAGAGCACACTATGCTTCGTGAAAATGTTCTCATGTAAACGATCAACTTTTGTTTCTCTTAAAGAAGGTATCTTCAACTTAATCTTTAATTTAAAACTCTTAATTAAATTCGTTGAATCAGTCTTTTATTTCATTTAGTTTAGTTATATACAGTTACTGTAAAATATTTATTCTCATTATTTACAAACAAAATGTGCACTACAAGTTCACAGTGTCTACACAAATAGTCTTTCATTTGTAATTCTCTAGGAAAAATCCTTTTTTATTGAAAATAGCTATTTTTAAAATATGTTTTACACTCACTGTGAGTTCAAAGTTTGAAATCACTTATTTCAGCACACATTCAGGAAGTGACATTACTAGATTTTGTCATTAAATTATATTAAAATTGCTGTAAAGTAATAACGATTCATTGAATTCTTTGAATTTATCAGAAGATTGACAGGTAAAATTTTGAAAAGAGATTACTTTATGCCCTGATAATATATCAGATTAGTACATCTCTAAAATTCTCCTGAAAGTTCTACGCCCATAAGCAAATTTGGTTACACCTCTTGATGTATACCAACAAGCGGTTCCACAATGTGCTACATCACCATCAAGAGGCCTCACAAAGAACGACCCTCTTTACCTCTGCATGATGACAACTCTGCCTTTCGACCATTATATTCTTGAAAAAAGCTATCCCTCTGTTTTAAAATACTTTAAATGTGATGCCCATTTCTATCATACCTTAATTGAACTTAGCAAAATAAAGTCCTCCCTTCTTTTATCTCTGAGTTTTTATCCTATTTTCTTATAAAATATCTTATTACTATTTTGTACTTTTTCACACCTTATCACAGTTTCAGTAACTTTACTTATCATTCTTATCTATCATTTCAAGCTACAGAAGCAATAATCATCCAGTTTTGGAAATAGAGTTAGTATTTCCTTGAGATTTGGTATAATAATTTGTTCCTATAGAGGACAGCAAAGTTACCTAACAATTAGGCTGAATTCACAAGGTGCTACTTACATCATACAATTAATCATCTCAAAACATTAACAAACAACTAACTTTCTTTGATTAACGTTCACATGATGATGGATTAACTTCAAAGAAAATATTTAGTTCTATAAGTACAGAAAATGTAATGTATATAAGATACAATATTGCATAAGTTATACCTAATGATCGAGTTAAAGTAAATTTAAATATTATCATTGTAATAAAATATATAACAACTAGACCTAGTAAACCCAAGCACGTTATGTTCAGAGCACCAGAAACCATTTCCACAGGCTCGCCCGTGATGAGTGTCTTGACAAACCAAGGAAGACCAAGACACATCAAGATGTCCAGAGTATTTGCGCCAAGGGAATTACTGATCCCCATAGATCCTTCACCTGTGGATAAAATGCAAAATTTTAGAGGGAGAGGCAGTAATACATTAAACTTAGGTGGGGCAAAAGCAGCCCTAGAAAAATTAAAGGAGCACTTCTAGAACATTAAAGAAAACTGTTTTGAATTTAAGGCTAATTACTTCAATATATTATATATTTTAGAATTGTAATGTTCATAAACATTTGAATGTTTTGAAGGACATCAAACCCTAGAAATAAGGATAAATTTAACATAAATTATTCTTCATACAATGAGAAAATTAAGTGGAAGTGAATAGGGCCTCGTGGGTAGGCAGTCGCTGATTGGCTACAAGTTCGCAACACATCCTCGGAGATCTTTTAATATGCGCATACTAAAATAGACCCGTTATATTCAAACAATGTGTAATATACAGTAGAACATCGCAAATAAACGTGTACAATAAATTTACTTTAAATTATTTGTGTTTCTTCAAACGAGCTGGGAAAATTTGTCAAGCGAGGAAAATAAAATAGTTTCTGTGTAATGGCGGGCCGTGTAACACCTGTGCTTATAGTGTCGTGAAACTGAATAGTCCAGAACGAATTTAAGACAGCCAACTGACACCAGTGTCAGCGGAGCGTTGACATGTGATATGACGACAACAGTTGCGCAGCATTAAAACTATCGAAAGCGAGTGGACAAATTTCGGTTTTCAAAGAGTATTTTTGCAAAGGAATAGATTAATGATCTTTTTTCTCTGCGTTTACACATAACAGTAAAGTTACTTTATGTAAAATATCGACAATAATTAGCCCATTTTAAAAATTACGTGCTTCCAAAAACTGGAATTTTGGATCTTTTTCCACATTTTCAACTGTAATATATTTTTGGAGACCAGATAAAAAATAGAAATTTCCACATATGAAAGATCGCTGTGATACTATACTGCAGTGTAAATATCAAGTTTGAGGACTGAACAAATTAAAATGAATTGATCCTTTTCTGTTGGGGGAAGTCGATAACCCTGACCACCGACGTCGAAATTCTACCTAAGAGTATATTTAGAGGTAGGTAAGGTAAGGATGGAAAAAATTAAAAGATTTTTAAAAAACAAATGCAAAGATGAATACTGATTCCTTTTTTCTTTTCTTCTTGGAAGAAAAAAACTGAAAGAAAAAATTTAAAAAATTAAAGAACTAAACTCTATCTTTCAAATTCGAAAGCACATTAGAAGAAATGAAACTGAAAGGACCGAGCTGCCTTGGGTGGACATGGTATGTTTTCATACCATATCAGTGGACATGGTATGTTTTCATACGATTCTCAAACTTCCCTCTCCCCGATTTTCACGAAAACTGGGCTCAGGCACTGGATGAATCACGCAAATGTTGTTTACAACATCAATTTTTCTAACTTTTTTCCTACAATTCTCCTGAAAATGGTCTCTTAAAATGGGAAAAATTAAGAAAACTGCTTTGAAGAGGCTGGTCGCTGGTCGAGAAGGCGGACTAGGGGTCCTTTTTACTTTGAATATAGAGGTTTCAGAAACCGTTCAAAAACAATGGTCTTTGAGAGGAGTAGTCGTTTAATAGGGGTGATCTTTCAGAGAGGTTCCACCGTGTTTTTGTAACTATTTGCATAAAATAATTATTTTGATTTTCAATATTTCTAATGGGAAACATTTCTTCATTTTTTATACATTTCTTTTTGTCAGACTTTTTCGAACAAATAAATTACGTTAATCGACGTTCCGTTGAACTGTTAATAACTTAAATGTACTGTAAATAGTTAAACCTTACATACCCTGACGAACCATAATTATACTTGAAATAGTTTCTGGAAGGCAACCTCCAATTGCTAGTAATGTAAGACCCAACACTGAATCTGGTATGTTGAAAGTATCACCTGTAGGGACAATAAATATAAAACATGAATAATTGTTTTTATATACAATATTATCAAGTGTATGGTTTAAAAAAAGTTTTACCTATAATTGTTATCATCCATGCGAGGATATATGAAACTATACCCAACCATACTATACACATGAAGAAAGTTAATGGGTATAGTTTTCTGAGAGATTTGCTTCTGCAGTTGGGAACAGTTATGCGGAGAATAAAAAGGATGGGCCACACAAGAAGCCACCACATCTTCTCCCCCCAGGTTGATGGTATTTCAAAGGGGCTGGTAGGAGCTGCAAAATATATAAAGTCAGCATTTAAATAATCATTCCGTTCGGTTTTCAAATCTAACTTTCTAAATAAATCTGAATAAATTCAGAAGAATACTATAAATTAATACGTGCTGATAATTTATCAGTCACAAAAAAACACAATAAGCAGCCGCTTTTGATCACTTATGGCACGACAAATGTTCTCTACAATTCTAGTTGAGTTTCTTTTCTATGAGGATTCAATTGGGGGCGTGTGTCTAGGAACCTGACTCCTTCGGTCAGATGTCTTAATGACAGACAATATTCATCTTTCATCATCAATGTTTAACGCTTTCAATTTTGTAAATGCCTGACAAGATAAACGTTATTTATAATGAACTGTGCAATATTTATTGGGAATGATACTGTTTACTTCAAACATGGTCGCCCTCTTCAAATTTCCAGCGCTTCGTGAACGTAATATGAAAGGTAATTCCAAGCAGTTGGATGCAACGTAAGTTAAAATTTGTATATTATTTCATATTTCTTTGTCGTTCCTGACATTCGAGCTTCTTTACACATTTATAAATTAATCTTTTAGAAATTATTCAAAACCTATTTAATAAACTATTTTTTGCCCGTGTTACGAGGAATGTATTTCAATGTATTGATGTAATTTCTTTCAATCAATTTGCAAATCATTCAAATTAGCCTAACTAGTTTTTTAATACTATTTAAATGTAATATGAAAAAATGCTATTGTTCGGGGAATATCATATTGGATAGCTATAATGGCATTCCGCGCCGCGATACGGCAGCTGAATTTCTGTGAATTACGTCTCATTGTTGGGATATGATTTAGCTGTATGAAAAGCAGTTATAATTCTCAAATTTGTGCACGGAAATATTTAGTTTTCGCACCAAACGTTCTACGATTTGTAATGAGTTTAGCCGAAAATGACTAAAGCCCGCTATACACGGTCATTTTTGCATCATTTCTTCATCATTTTTCTGTACAGAAAGTGGATGGAAAAAGGATGTGCGTTTGTTTCGGTACCGAAACTGGATGAACGTGATTCCGATGTTTTAAACGATCATTTCTGCCCTGTATGCAATCGTGATGAAAATACTTCCTCCACACGCCGCAAAAAGCGCTGGAAGTTAAACAGTTGAACATCGCACGTACGTAAACAATTGCAATACGCGGGAAGAATGATGAGATTCGCAGTGAAGGTGGTAGATAGTCGTGTGAAGTATTGTGATTTTTGAGTTGGAAATGGAAAGGAAAGCAGTGACACTCAACCTCACGAAATCACAACCAAAACAGCACAAAATGCTCTAACGTTCGAACAACTCTCCAGGGCACGGAATCGAAGAAAGTTCCATAGAGTAACACCAGGAGCGCCATAGTCAAACTGGATGCAATTTGTACGGAAAAATGAAGCATGCTTCATTTTTACGTACAAATTGCATCCAGTCTGGTCAGTAACTTGTCTGTACCGATGAGAAATGATGCAAAAATGACCGTGTAAAGCGGGCTTAAGACATTAATTCGGAGAGAAATTGTGGTATAAATAGTATTACATAATCATTAACAAGGAAGAGAAAGTATGTGCTGTTTTAGGACCAATACGTGCATGGGACTTTTTATCTACAAACATTTATTCTAATATATTTTGGATACTCTGTGTTGCTCGTATTTAATACGCATAGCTTAGCTAAGAGTGGCGGGCCATTTGTTGTAACTTAAGTGCACAAAAGTCATTCTAAGATATTTCAGCGTGGTTTCAGCAGCGTTGTAACTGACCTGGGAGCTTTTCTAGCTGCTGCTCGGCATCAATAGACTGCTTCTTCTCAATGGCTGTCGATGTGGCTCTTGAACTCCTTGTCCGATGTTGTGATCCTGCATAGGGTCTGTACTTCGCATCGTATATGTCTACTTCGACTTCTGATGTATTTTCTGAAGCTTCAAAATCTGAGAAAAAAACATCAATATTTATGTTCCTGAAAAATATTTTCTTTTGGTGAATTATAAAAACATACTTTCAACTCACCCACACTTTTTCCTCTAAATTTGCTCTCAAGGTACTTGGCACCACGCATCATAGGGTTATTTAAGTACATGATTACAAAATACAGAAAGAAAAACACAACCATCACAGTAGCTTCGGGCCAAAAAATTGATCCATCCCATATCAGAATAGTCAGCGTGACTAACACCACAACGTAGATGGAACAGTCTCTTGTCAAGGGCCACCAATCCAATTTAATAGCCTGAAAAAATATTTATTGTGTTATAAATTCAATACAAGATCTTTTTTCCTGGAATTACTTTTTACTCTAGACAATTAGTAACATTTTATAATAATAAGACAGAATTTTATGGTATTACGAACTATGTTTATGAGATAAAAACTAGTATAATTGTTCACTGTAATACTACAAAACAACTCAATTATGTTGCAAGACAAAACGAGTAGAAAGCAAAATTTTCGTGAGTGGCAACCGCAAATTGTTATTCCGTAACTAAGACGTTGAACACTTTGAAAATATATTGGTTGAATTATTCAAAAAAGGCAATATTTAAAAAAAATACGAATACACTTACAACAGTCAAGGGCGGGAGCTCATCAGAGAATGCTATAACGTTCCCGGGCGATAGAAACGTCTATCCCACCGGTTAAAGTGATTTGCTTTTGTCCATGGGCAGCCTCTTTACAGAAGTTTAGGCTACAACGCAAGCGTAGAAGTTCCTTTCGGCGAATTAACTCTTTATATAAAAACTACCTTGAGTAATACTTATTCTGTATTTCTTCAATGGGTAGGTGTTTTCTAATGTATCTCCCTCTCACCCCACGCCACTGCATATGAATTTAAATTATTTAAATAATTCCTTAAGTATCATTTTTATCGTGTTTTATCTCTTCATTTACATTAGTTTATTCCTCAAGACAAGTGCTAGATGCGACGGGATTGCGCCGCCGCAGCAGCACTATATGCAGTTGCCACTCCCCCCTTACATTCAACAGTTGCAAGTCGTGATAGGAAAAATTAGCCATTATAATAAATTTATAGAGAGGTTTTCAACAGTTTCTCCTTTAAATGCCTTAGGGAAGAAAGAAGCAAAGTGTGTTCGGTCAAAAATGCCAGAAAGCACGTGATAATTTTTCAAAAAAGGCATTGGTGGAGATGGCAAAACAAAACTATTTTGTGGTGAGTAAAATCCAACTGTAGCAGTGGACGCGTCTGATTATGAATCGGGAGCAGTCGTATCCCAAGAAGATGAACATGAAAGGTCGATAGTGTTTACAGTGACTCCTAAGAAGCAACGCTAAGGAGTACAATAGAAGGGACAGGCTTTCGGTGAAGTCGGGGGTGTCGTTATGAATGAGGGAGGGAATGTTTTCATGAGGATACTGATTCCCAGAAGTGCGAGTATAAGACGGCATCTCCTGGAACTGCTGCACGAGGGTCATTGGGGCAGAGTAGGGAACAAGCAATTCGCACGTCGCTCTTGGAGAGAATTAATGGCGACATACCGCAGATACTTAGGCGACGTGAGGGGTGCCTAGTGAACCAGTAGGGATATTGGGTGCGTACTCAACCCAATGAACTGTGCGAGACGGACAATGATTATGATCTATGCTTTATCTATCCTTGTAGTTGAAACGAATAACATATCCAATACTACAAAGAGAGAAAACTATTTGAGGCAGAAGCACTCCCCGCAGTATTAGTGTTGAAAAACGGTACTCAGTTTAGTTCCCAAAAATTTTGTAGATTAAGTCAGTTCTACCGGACCCAGAACCAGAACATCTGCACGCTGTCTTTCCCTCACCACCGTCTACCGGTGAAGTAGAAACGTTCGCCAGGACCATCAGCAACCAAGTGCAAGGCGAGAGCAGTTGGAACGCGAAAACCCAAAGCTCTGATACGCGATCTACCAAGCGCTGCCAGTCACAGCAAAGGAAGGCAGAAGCCCAGCGGAGAAACTCTTAAGACAGGCTGCCGCCGACATCATTATCTCTCCTGCAATCTGGAGATACCGGTGATCTCAACATTGGAGCTGAATGCACATCTGCAATGCTCTGAAGTGCTGAAAATCGTGACGATCGTTTTTGGTTAGATTGGCTGCGGTGATCGTCTACCTACAGACATTCTTATGAGTTAAATGTGTCTTGTGTGTTCTTACTGATGCTTACATCGTCTCTGTCAACGAAAATGCCAAAGTATTGCTTAACATTCGGTTGTAAAGAACTCCAACAAACTGTGAACTAGATACGAATATATTAGATGTGATATTATTTGGGAGACATTACTTATATTTTTAGGTTTTTGGCGACTATTATTTGCCATAAGTCGATCTAACGAAATTATTAAAGATACGCTAACCAATAACTCTCCGCAGCGTGAATGTTAAAAACTCTCCAAGAAATGACAGACTGGATTTTTTTAACTATTGTAGGTAAATCGCAATTCCAAAGTATTAAATATTTGTTACTTTCAACTTTTTATTAAGTTTTAGTAAACATAAAAGAGAATAAATGTTTGAAATTTGAATGGGATGCTAATTCATGCTATTTGGTTCTGACATAATTAGAACAGAATAGACGTTCACCATCATGGCGGACCGTCCGATTTCTGAGCACAAAGTGTGGTCTCCAATCTACATTAGAGCTCACTGGGTGAGACATGTGTCGGAGGAAACACCTCCAAGGTACAAAGTAGAAAATTTTATTGCAAATCGTTTAAGAAGAAACCAGCGTGGGTACCAGCGGTTACCCAGGAAGTTAAAGGACACACGTTATATGCAGTCAGGATTAAAGCCAAGGTCATGACGCACTATCGAGGGCAATTAAGTACCCGCTATTCTAGAATTAGATTTAATAATTTAAAGTGAATGCCCCCCCCCAAGAATCTATAGAAAAAGTATTACGGAGCACAACGAGCAGGCAGCCGGCCCCATGCCAACATAACACCTGCCTTGTAGCAGCGAGCGGATACTCGGTACCCCAGGAGGTTGTACCGAACGGTGCGTTTCGCACAGCGTACATCGCAATGGGCTGCGAATGATGTCGTAGTCACTCACAACCTTTTAAATGGCCCACCGCCAGGAAGTCAGGGCTCAGAGCAAAGTCGCTCGCCCTTCACCAAAGAGTTCCGGGTTCGATTCCTGGACAATCGGATGTGAAATTTGTTTCCACAAAGCGAGTTTGGCTGCTTCACAAGTCCTGTAAAGTGTCCTAAACCCTGCCCCTATCCTAATTCCTTCCCAAATCTGGCCACTGGGTAGTCACGCAAGAGCGTGTGATAGGAGGCACGTTTGCGGAGATGCTACCTGACGGTCCTCTGAACAACTGACTTCGACGAGACGTGACATATGGCAGTTACAGTTAAAGGAGGATTACTCCCAACGCACTGATTAATGGATAACTACTCCCAAGCGCAAAGTGCTCAACGCCCCCAAAGGGGCTTGGAGAGGCGTTTTGTAAATCTACACCTTTTCAACTTCAAATTGAGACCAAACAATTTCAAATTGGGAATAAACACATTGAAATCGAGACCAATCGCTTTCAAATTAACACTAGGTTCAAACAAGAAAAATCATACAACTATTTAAACACAAAAATGTATTAACCACAAAATTAAGGAACAATGAATACAAATTTCATTTGGAATATAAAATGTTTCTCAAACGGTATGACTCACTTCCTTTTGCTTTATTTAATCATTATAACGCATGCACAGAAAAATGTACGTTAGTTTTGTTAACATCAACAAAAGAAACTCTAGCCGATTCCCCTTTGTTTTTTCTCGATTTGACATTGTTACGTCTCAAATTACTTGTGTTTAATTCCAATCTGCCCGTATGTATTCTAACTTCGAGTACCCAATTTGAAATTGTTTGATCTCATTTTAAAGTTGAAAAGGTATACAACAAAATATAAAAAGTCGTTGCGACAGACAGGCGTCGCAGCAGATAATTTAGTTTTATTCTTTGGGGAGTACTACGAGCTGAGAGTTGTAAAAGAGTATAGTGGACTGAGATACGAAGTTGCTGATTCTCTGGTTGAATGTGTAACTGCGCTGCATATTGGCTATCTTCCGACTAAACTGCGACTTGGTTAGTTTTGGTGCCTCTCCCGGATTCACAGAATGTTCACAAAGTTTGTTAATACGGTTTTGTATTATGGCTAGTACATATAAAAGTTTTTAACCGAGCTATGAGGGTTCTAATTTTATCACAACAGATACTACCGCAATAAAAATTAATACTGGGAAGTCAAGTTCTTTATCTTTTTCTTTTGTAGCCCCAATGAGATCAACATATGAAAGGTAAAATAAATACTCACCTCTATCGTTGCTAAACCACTAGCTGCAGCAACACCAAATGTATTGAATACAGCCGATCCCACTACAGCACCTACTCCTAAATCTGATTCAGTGATAAATGTTCCAATGATGTTGACAAACAATTCAGGAGTGGATGTGGCCATTGCCATGAAAGTTGCACCAGCAACATCTTGAGAGAGATTCAGATCTGCAAATAGCATTAGAAATGTTATATTCATCACAAAAGTTTGTAAACTTGCACTTCTTACATATAATATACAATTACTTCCTTCAAGCTGGGACTACTAGTGCTTTTTGCAGTTGATGCCTTTCATGTTGATTTAAATAAAAATAAAACAAAGTACATGGTACTTTCAACAGAGCTGTCATGAGAAAAAAGATTCAGACCTCAAAATATTAAATAAAATCTTTGAAGGAAGTATTCAGTAACGTTGACATTAAAGAGCCAAAAAACTGGTCCAGCTATGCGTATTAAAATAAAGAGTTCTGGAACCAATCAAAATACGGCACTCCGGTGGCAACGACTATATAAGACAACTAGAGTCTGGCACAGTTGTTAGATCGATTACTGTTGTTACAATGGAAGGTTATCACGACTTAAACGTGAGCTTGAACGTGGTGTCATAGACAGATAAAACGAGATGGGAATAGCATGTCGCGATGAAATTTGGATTTTCCCGTACGACCATTTCACGAGTGTGCCGTGAATATCAGCAATCCGGTAAAACATCAAACCTCCGGCATCGACTGAGGAGAATGATTACACGTGACAGAAGTCCTACAGATTTTAACGCAGGGCCATCAACAAGCGTCAGCGTGCGAACCATTCAACAATACGTTATTGATATGGGGTTTTGAAGCCGAAGGCCCACTCGCGTACACTTGATGACTGCACGACACAAAGCTTTACGCCTCACCTGGGCCCGTCAAACCGATATTGGACTGTTGATGACGGAAACACGTTGTGACGTGTCTCCTTTCACATTGTGTCGATAGTATGGAAACAACCTTATTATACATGGAGCCTGCATGTCAACAGGGGACTGTTCAAGCTGGAGGCTCTGTGATGGCACGGGCAACATGGAGGCTCTTTGATGGAGCGGAGTGTGAGTAGTTGTAGTGATATGGGACCCCTGATACGTCTCTATAGTCTCTGACAGGTGACACGTACGTAAGCATCCTGCGTGATCACATGCATCCATTCATGTCTATTGAGCATTCCAACGGACTTGTACAATTCAAGCAGAACAATGCGTCACGCGGCACGGCCAAAATTGCTACAGAGTGGCTCCAGGAACACTCTTCTTAACTTAAACACTTCCACTGTGCATCAAAATGACCATTATTGCGCATATCTGGGATGACTTGCAACGTGCTATTCAGAAGAGATCTCCACCCCCTCGTACTTTTACGAATGTATGGACAGCCCTGTAAGATTCATGGCGTCAGTTACTTCCAGCACTACTTTAGATATTAATCGAGTCCATGCCACGTCGTGTTGCGGCACTTCTGCGTGCTCGCGGGGGCCCTACACGATATTCGGCGCGCGTACCAGTTTTTTGGCTCTTCAGTGTATTAATACTCAAGATGATATGACATAGAACATCTAAGAACGAGTAAAGGCAGGGAATAAAACACATGATATAAACATGCAACAATCAAGAAATAAATCAATAAGCGACAACCCGAAAGCGAAAATATATTAAAAACTAAATCGATCAGTGGTAACATATGGGCACAGAGCCTGAATGTTAACAATAAGTGATGCAAATGAGCAAAGGCAATTTGCACGTAAAGTAATAATTATGGTCGACCTTTTAAGAAACTAGATAGATGAAGATGAATAAATAACTATGTAACTGATATAATTATGAAAGGTAAATATATTGTAAGATTAATTGAGCCTCAAAGGATGAGCTGATTGGAACACATAGAAAGTATGTTACAAACAAGAACGCCTTAAAACAATTGGAGGGTTTTCTCAAAACGGAGAGGCTACCCAAAAATGAGATGGAAAGATGAATTGCAGTACTTGAGCACCATGGAGATGGAAAAAGAGAGCGGAAGGCAAAAGATAAAACGCTGTTGTACGTTAATCCGAGGTCCGCAAAGGGCTGTAGAGAGCTAGGGAAGACGAAGAATAAGAAAACAATTATTAAATAGCCTCGCCCACCCCACCCGCCTATCCTCCATCCGCACCGCTCTCTCCTCCGGTTCCATCCATGTACCCGTTCCGCCGCATCCTTCCATCCCATCCGTTCATTCCACTCCCTCTTCCTCTTCCTCTCATTCCACCACCTTCGCCCTGTCTCCCGCATCGCCCGCACCGAGTGCTCCGTCTATCCGAGTCCTTGCTTGCCCTACTCGCTCTGCCCACTTTCGCCTTCTCCTCGGGTTAGTAAGTCCCTCTCACATTTTGTGCATTGCGGTTTGCACAATAATTTTGTTTGTAAATGTCACCCCTCCCACCTCTTCCTCTACAAACTCTGGATGTCTTATTCCCATAGTATTTTTTCCCTATTGTAAGTAATGAGGAAAGTTTGGATGAAATTGCTCAAGGCGTAACAAGAATGATGGAAATACACAAATACATACCACGCACACGTACATACAAACATGCGTTATATTGTCGTATAAACATACATTTTTATATATAGAGATGGAAATTTTAACAGTGTGAATATTTACGATATGACTTGTTACCTCTCTTAAAATAAGTGTAAAAGTTCCAAACAATTTTAGGCACATGAAACTTATCAATGAAAGATCATGAGTTTATTCTTGTATTCTAGAGAGGCCAACAAAGGAATATTAGCGTCATATTACATTCACGCAGCTACGTATGACTTCATTTCATCGTTATAGTCATGTAATTTTATCTTTTTGTAACAGTACAAATACAGGTAGAATAGATGAAACAAAAAATCATCCGTAATTCAATTACCAGGAGAGACTTGAGCTGATTGGCCCCAGTAGGTAGAATTTAATTTTGTTACGCTACTAATTTTGTTAACAAACTAATAATTTTCCGAAAATGTACGTAACCAAAGCTGTCGCCGGTGCTTTTGCCTTATAAGTAAAAATTTTAATTTTCTTTATTTTGTGGAAAGAGTACGCAGACACTGTGACAAACATTCCAAATGAAAAGTATCAACCAATTCCGAACGGTAGTTTTTATTAGATGTGAGCGTGGAAGTGACAATTAAACTAAAAACTAAAATCACTGATACACGAAGATCAAAAGCTTGATTAAAGGTTTTAGATGGAAAAAGAGAAAGGCAAGATCTTTCCTTCCCAATATTACAGGCGAGAATCAACAAACTACGAAAAGATTACTCTCCTTGTTCTAAAACACATTTAAGATCACGGTTTCACAATCGTTGCTCTCACGACAACTGTAGAACGTTCATAAGGATGTAAAGAACTCGTGACACAAACCAAGAGGTCATGGAAGCTATGAGGCAGATGGAGGAACTTGAGTGCGAATCAACCATTTCTGCTAATCAGTCTCGGTTTCCCCCACATGTTTTTGCTAGAAAACAGTTTTTTTTTTTCATTATAGCAGGAAAATATGTTGTTCGACAATTGTTGTATTAAATAAATGAGCCATGTTACTTTCAAGTATTTCAAAAAAGTCGATCTTCTCACTTCAGTGAGCAAACCCTTAGTACAAATCAGTGCACGAATATGATACCCCGCTTATAGTTCTCAGAAGTTAAGAAAACGTAAGGCATCGCACGTCTCGCTTCATTCCTAACTTAAATCTAAAACTTAAAGTACTAAATAACACGTAAAGTACTATTAAGTTAAGTTATGCGTTTTGAATTGTCTATTGATCTTCATATTATGTTTTTTGTATTAATTTTTAAAAACTAAATAATAAATTTTGTCTGAAAATTATCGTGTTATTTACATTATATTAGTACATTAACTTCAGTTATCATTTAAAGGTTAGATATACTTGTAGGGTAAAGGAAATCTTATTCCGATTTCTTGCCCGTTTTCTTAGGTTAAAAAATTTAAGAAATGCACTGATGCCGGGAAGTTGTTTCGTGATAATCGTTGGGAGCGATGTCTATTCTGAGTATTGTACGGCTTTTAAGAAATCAAGATCAAACATTCTGCAAAACGAATTGCAAAAAATTACATCTGCGCCCCTGAAAACATCCTTGAACTTCATGGACACTTAGAGCCCTGTAAAATTGGAACAACTAAATCTTCTTTGAGCACTAATTAAAAAAACATTAGCTATTTTAAATATAGTGATAACTTGGACAATATAATTAATTTTGTAATAAATAACTTCTTGAACACTGTAGAGGAGGCTCCTAAGAAATTATTTTAGAAGACTTTTAAGCAGGGATTTTAGCGACCTCATCATGGCATGTGAATACTTATACGGAAATAATCATACTGGTTATTATTGGAATTTAATTTTTTCCAACTTTCAGAACTATAATTATCAAATTGATTGGTGAAAGTTCACTGCATAAAATAATTCAGAAGTCAACAAGTAGTATGGAAGAAATTGAAAAAATCATGTATTTTTAAACAATAATTGTAGACAGTAAATTCTAAAGAACCTACGTGCCATTTTGTCAAAAATGACTTATGCCCAGCAAACGAAAGCTTGTTCGGTCGCCCAGGCATTGCAAAGAGAGCTACGTGCCCACGTTACGTCTTGATTCATTATTCTTCCACTCGCCAACAAATTACAAACGTCCCCGCTGCTTAGTAGTGCTAAAGTAGATATTATGTGCCAGTTGCTGTTGTGTTCCGTTTGGTAATATTAAGGTGACATTTGTGCTACAGCTGTGAAATGAGTGTCACGTACTTAAAAATATGTGCTCCCATAGCGTAGCTCCCTTTCATGCGCTGCTTTAACACATATCTGACCGAAAATAACCAATTTCCAAAATTATTTTTGGCTTATGGCAACTTAGAAACTGACCGAAAGTAAATACACCAAAACAAAGAGCATTGATAGTTTACTTTTTTAAGTTGCCTCACTTCTTTAAGTTGCTTTACTAAGTTAATTTTTGCATGTTTAGTAAGTTTACTTTCTTAACTTCCAATATGCCTCAAGATATCACAAAAATTAGTCCCTTTTTCTAAAAATAATTTCCCATTTTCTCTAACATTCTCAAGCCAAATGTATGAACTAAAATGTGAACTAAGAGGCAAAGGCCGTCCTCTAAACCTTAGAAACAATGATTACGCATAACAGTAAGAAAATGGAAAACCATGTACCTACCTACACAAATGCATTCAACAGATGGTAGAAAATAGTCATTGCATACGTATGCCAGTAATACAAAGCAGTAGAGAGCGCAAAGGAAATGTAGCACTATGGCACCATGCAACCGTTGATCATGTGTAAACAATCCACTAGGAAAATCATTTATTCCTCGATCAATACAGTCTTCTGGGTCTTCACTTCCTCCCACTAGAAAAAAGAAAAATACCCCATAACTGTCGAAATCTTATTATAAAATTTGTAAAAGGGATATAATATTTTAACTCTATTTAACATTCAAATGCGCAAATATGTTAGCGATTTTGACGAATTATTAAGTAATACATCATATCTGAAGGGAAATAAATTAATTAAATGTTAAAATATTGTTTTTCCGATATAAACATTAACTTTCCATTGCATGTTACATATATATATATATATATATATATATATATATATATATATATATATATATATATAATAGAACCCTAGATCACTCAAAAATAACGATATAATATTTAAAAAATATAACTGTACTAAATAGATAGGATATACTGATAAAAATAAATGAGAATTTAAATTAGTTTAAAAATTATGATGATTTTATATTACTGTTAATAAACGTTTAATTAGTATTTGAATATTTTCGATATAAAATATTAAAAAAGAGTTGTAATAGATTTCATTTAAAAGATTAGAATGTAATTGGAAAATATCAAAATTAATGTTCAGAAATTATGACACAATTGTGAAATGAAGCAATTACTCTCAAGAAAACGTTTGTTCAGCCTTACCTCTAAAGTAATCATCATGGTAGAATCGATGGCGGAGAATGCCCTTCTGAGCAAGTGTACTGCATATCAGCCACACCACTGCTATTCCACCACGAAAAATAAATCTTCTCATTCTAAAGCTTGTTTGTAACTATATTCTCATGGTTAACTAAACCAACACAAAACACAAATGACAAATACAATGTCAGGATGTGGCGTGCTAAAAAAGTCTTCTGCACAGTACTGAGAATTGTAGATGTCTTTTCTGCAGATCCCTCCTGTGATCAGCGTGAACTTCATGAATGATGTACCCTGACTAGCTTGAGAGCTCTAGGTGACTGTTAACCATCCCAAAGATAAGAGATCATAATGATTATTGGCTTGCCACCTATACACTTCAGTTTATCTCGGCATCCTGATAACATAGCACTAAATTCCTTGTTTGTCCTTAGAACAGCATAGATAAAAATCTAATGGGCATTCATTGACTACGTATCTTGTTTATTTAAAAAAATAACCCTTTATAAACTTGATTTTGTAACACAAAATTAACAAAGAAGAGATTTTAGCTCTACATTTAAACCAAAATGCTTCATGATCAGTATAAAATAATGGTAGCACATGCAGTCCAAAAGTCATTCTATTCAACATTATTATTATTCAAACAAATAAATTATAATAGAATTTGAATATCCAATTTAAGGCGTTTAAGGTCTCAAAATATTCAGGGGAATATAAAATTCTAAAAGTAATAATGATTTAGCCCTTCAAACAAACTTGCACATCCTGTGGCTTTGATGATGACAGTTTCCACACTTTTTTGTTTTCATTACGTTTGAAAGAAATGTTACTTAAGATTCTAACTGAAAATATTTCATTGATCAAGATAACTATTTACAAGCTCGCGAAAGCTGACTCGGAAGTCAGGTGGGAATTCATCTCTTCCAAAGATTTAAAAACGAAAATTTGGAGAATCTTTGTACTTTTTAAGGCTTTTCAAGGTTTCACAGAGGTTAAGTTTCTTCTGCTATGAAGATATTTCAATATTTTGCTTGAGAAAAAAATATGTTAGCTTTTCTTTGCGTAAACCCTACAGTCATGCAAGTGAATTCGAAACATACATACCGGTTGTCGAAGATTCGGCAGCAAGATTACGGTGTTCACTTGTTAGCAGGATAAAACCCATTGCAAATTATTATTCGTACGTAATAAAATAATTATTTATGAATCGAGGCCGTTAGATAGGGTTCTAATGATCGATGGGCGACAAAAGCAGAGGGCATTTGGCCCAAAAGCTTTTGTCGACAGAGATCTTTAGAAACCTGTTAATGTCCATGATGCATACATTCTTTTATTTTTTACAGCATTTTGGGCAATTATATTTTCATTTGTTTGAAACAGTTCCTGATTTAAGCGCATGTTTTTGAGCGCCAAATACCTACCGCCGCTACTAATATTAGTTGAATTCAGAATAAATTATATCAATGAGCGTTATTGATAAAATATGATAATAAAAATATTCGATTCCGTGCAACAAAAAACATTTTCCATCGAGAAACGAGCTACTGACTTGGTACAAAAATCCTGTCGTCAAAATAACCAACTTTCTCGCATCTAGCGAAATGACTCAAGAAACGTGCGCGAATAATACTGACATTTATTTTGTCAAAGATGTGTACACTCACCGCTGAGAGTAAATACGAGTGTATGAACATCTTTGCATTCAATCCTGTCGCCTTACGAGACTTTTGTTAAGTCGTTGCTACATATTCCCATGGAGGTTTTGTCAGTGTCCAAGTTGACAGGAATTTTATCTAGATATGGCGAGTATTTAAGTATTAAATGCAATAAATAATATTCACAATAATTAATAACGACACTTAAATCAAGAGTTTCTCTGGAATTCAATTAAATAAAGTGCTATGGATGTGCAACAGAAAATAAGGAATACGTTTTAAAAAACAGTATGAAATAGGAAAGTCTGGCATGACATGTTTGTGGTTTAGATAGTGCTGAAAGGCTAGATTTTCGATGTAAATTTCTATGTTTATGATCATAAGTAGCTTTAAGAATAAGATAATACATATGAACATGAATTATAGGCGATTCCGTTAGCTGTCTTATTTCTCATTATTGAAATTGAATTACGATATCAAATGAATATTAAAATGAGAAAGGTAGGACTGTCAAAGAAGCTTCGCGGAGGACCAGACGTGACGATAACCTGCAGTGAGAAGAACTAGACGCACGACAGAGTGCAGTTTGACGGAGCCGAAACTGACATGACAAAAACTGAAACAACTGCTGTCAGACTAATAGTTCACAAACGTGCGACTGACCTACACCTGCCTGTACAAGTGTAACCACCCGATGCGTAATTCGTGAGGGTGTGCAGTTCGATTATTCCGCTGCATAATCGTGGTGAAGGCGACATTTGACAGCCTGTGACTCGCGCACCGGAACGACTCGTCTCTTCGTGGGTATAGCTGCAGTGGGCTGCGGGCTTCCCTAAAGCGTACATCCGCTGGGCGGCGCTCTGCTTGCCGCCTCTTCCACGGTGCCTTGGCGGACTGTCCCCCACCCCCTACCTCCCGGTAACGGACGTCTAATCCTCTCGAAGTGAAGTAATCACATCACTGTCATCTTCATCCTGTAAGTTCCCATATAATAAGTAGTCAAATCAACTAAAGGCAATCAGACAACTGTAACGAGAGGACCAATTGTATGAAGAGACATTTACTGTTATTATTTGTTTGTTTTATTTCAATAAACGTGTCCTAGCCATTTAGGCGGGTTACACTTCATAAATCCAGTCTATGTGTATTATTTGTCTTTTAACTAGATGCAATGCACTCCTTCGGCACAGGACACTCACCCCTGTGACGCTCAAAGCCGGTGCACGGATAACAGCAAAGACATTCGCGAGGCGCCCTTTAAATAAATTCAGCGCATGCGCCCTGTGCATATATCCAATAGTGACCGACGCACTTTCCGTGTCATGGTCATCCTCCCACATTTGTGGTAACCCCTAGGTAAGTTCAAAATTTGACGAAGCGACTTGGTTTCACCTCTCTCTCTCTCTCTCTCTCTCTCTCTCTCTATATATATATATATATATATATATATATATATATATATATATATATATATATATATATACATACATATATATATGAATTTTTTTCTTCTTGCTACATGTACGAGGCCCGCTTATAAGAGTTTTCACCTGTAATATTATAATTCAAATATTTCCCATGAATAAGAGAAAACCAAGCCCACAAATTTTCCCATGGACACAGTCAGAATTTCCTTGACAAACCCTTGACAAAGACTGCCTGAGAAGTGATTTATGTACGCAGAATACCTTTCATAAACCATCTCATCTGTAGAAGGTGAAAATCTGTTTCCAGAGATCCTCAGTTATTTTATCTCAATCCTCTACTGTTTTGTGTAGCCTCTGACAGTGAAAAGCTTTCATGACAATTTTCTCGTGTTCAGTTTGACAAGGTGTAAGTACTATCTTAACTAACGCATTGCATATTTTGCGAGGCCTATTTAGCTCTTCACCATCTTTGTGATTTTGATGTTGATCGACAGCCGAGCTGTGTTCCGTTCACGTGGAAGGCAGCGTCTCAATTTAGAAAAAATGTTTTGAAAATTCTTATGGTGGTCCTGAAAAGAATATCAACATTTGAAACGTTTGACATCAAGCTTGAGAACAGCAAACTAGTGATACAGCATTTCTCATGTTACCGATTATGAACAATAATTATAATTATATCGCAAATTATTAATTTCCACTATTTCATTTCTGCGGTGAAAATGTCTCATAAATCTGCTAGAAACATAGCACATTATATCTATTATCTAGAATCTTCTAAAGCTTAATACTCTGTGTGTAAAATTGACGTTTTGTTGCATAGAACACAAAGCCAATAAGACATTTAAACTCGCACAACATATAAGGACAACGTCCTGCAATTTGGGGACTCTTGTGACTAAATTAAAAGATGAGAATAGAATTGAAAGAAGTAGTGTGCCTCTCTCCAGTGTGAGATACGTACTCTTTTGCACGTATTATCTGACCGTTGAACTTGCCGTGCACAAAACTCGAGATTGCTCGACCTCGTTTCGCGCGTCATTTTAAGTACGCTGCCATGGATTCCATTTCAAATTACGCGCATTGCAACATAATAGTGAAATACTTTGAAAAACGAGAACTTTTACAGCAAAAAATCTGTCATTCGTCGTAAATACATCTGTCATTCAACGAAGTACCTATAGCATTTTTATCAAAATCATATTGAATCAACTATGTACAGTGAAATGAAAAAAAACGACAATGATTCAATTTCTTCAAATATAAATATATTACGAACAATATATTATTTACCTCACTCACGAGTACTGTTGAGCGAAAGTTACATTTCGT